AAAAAATCTCACTCCCAGAATAACTACGCAAAATAACGATCCAAACTCGAACCATTCAAGCCACAATATAAACATAAAAAATTACTTTCGTGCATTTGACAATGATAAACTTACCGAAAAGCCGTGTTTGTCTCGGTCACTAACGTTGGTATAATCCGCCATTTTATTTGAGTGTGTTTGCCACCTGACTCTGCCCGGTGACGTCATCATGTGCACTATAGAATGAGGTCTGTGATTGGTTGACTAAAATCGTCGATAGTGGGTCTCGTTGAAATCTAGTTACATAGGCATCGGGTCAGATATATGTAGGGCGGAATTAAAAAAAATCACAAAATCAAAGTAAAATAATAAAATAAAAAGGCATTAATAACAAAAGCAGTAAAAATAAAAAATTAAAATAAGTTTATAGCCAAAATATTTAAAGCCCGTACACTAATCAGATTGCTGGCATGGGTGTCGCTAGATCGTATGGCGCACGACCTCGGGCCGCAAAAGTCGTATCCAGTCCATAACGAATATTAAGCTTAATAACAAGTGTTCAACATATCAAACTGAATATAGGCAACACATATGTATATATACATATGTAGAAATAAAGATAATAATACAGCTGTATCTTGTTTAGATACTTGAAGGAGTATCACGTCTTGCAGGAGCATTTGTAAAGTTGACTGAAGCAGGAGACCTGTTCTATAGAGATATGAAAACTACAGTTTCAAAATTAAATCAAGGATGTGGGGAAACAGATATGATCATGGATGACAGTGTAACCATAAAACTCAGCAAGAACACATGTATTAAAGGAGCAGGAGACCCACTGAAACTAGTGTGTGAATTATACATGTTCATGGAAAACTGCATCGAAAAATGGTCGTCTGTTGTAGAGCAAGCTCGCAATACTTTCCGAGCACTAAATAACTTTACCACCAAACAACTAAACATTATGCGCCAAGAGATAGTGTACCTATTGCCCTACTATACAGGAACGGAAACTATATCAGATGAGCTGTTGAGTTTACTGCACTGTTTGAACAACAGTGTGAATAAAGAGATGTTGTCTGATGTCCTGGTAAAATGTCTCAAAGAAATCAAAGAGGATCCTGATCTACTGCTGACCAGAGAAATTGACACTCATGATTGTGATTTGAAACAGTTGAAAGTGTTCCTTAAACGAATGAAGAGGTTCCCTGGTATAACTGACCAAATTGCAAAAGCAGCATTTCAAGCTTGTGATGGAGATATTGAAAAGGGAGAAGAGTGGTGCATTGAGAATATCACAATGGAAGAAGAGAACATGGATGAAATTGATCGGCTTTACAGTGCTTTTATAAAGACACCATATGCAGATATTGATGACTTAACTAGTGACTCAGCATTGGTCAACATTGTTCGTAAATCAGAAATTTCAGGCAACAATGGTGGAACAAGAACTTCTGAATATGAGAGGTAAGTAAAAAGAAATGATCTTATTTATTACATAATCTGTTCTTCATTGTGTAAATTTAATTGATATTTCACCTTTTGTATTTCTTCTCATTGTGTTAGTCATATTGTTCAAGAACTTGAAAAGACTTGGAACCAATATCAGCATAAAAATTATGATGAAGAAGAACAGGAGCATATCAGTATTGAATTTCTTGGCCTCATACTTGATGCTCTCAAGAATAAAGGTCAGTTCCAATGTTTCATTCACTAGTCTGATTGGTCGGTTGCTATGTAATCTACATTTCTGTTAGTCATAAAATGCTTATTATATTGTTTTAACAGAAAAACAAGCCGATTTGCAGCCTGATGTTACACCTGATATTAAACAAGGAAAACCCAATCTTTTCATTGTACCAGAGCGTAAGTACTATTGTTTAGTAGTTTTTGTTTACTCTATTCGATAGATATAATTAATGTGAATACCAACTCAGTCATAGTCATGGTGATATTTTATGTGTTATGCTACTGATGTCAACAATTTGATTAATTTTCATTTGTTTGTGTGTTATTGCAGGTACCATAATTACTACATGTTTATCAATATACTACCATAGGGGAAAACTTGAGTTTCCTGATGCAGGTGAAGTATTAGTATGTACAAAGCAGACGACTAGTGAAGAGGTAAACAGACTAAATTCCGCCATTAACATTAAGAGAAATTATCTCATTATCAATTTGTTATGTTTGCATTTATATTTAACATACTTTAGTGTAAACCTGTTGTATTGAAATATTTCTATGTGTGTTTTATTTCTGTCATGTAGGTTGGACTTTTCTGGAGACGTGCAATGATGAGTTATAAACACGGAAA